TATGTCTATAATATATACCCTAATTATATGTTCTATAATCAATAGATTGTTGTACTGTAGTATCAATATGTGCTGAGTGTACACATTAATATAATGGTTTTAAACTGCATGAATTGTACATAGTTTAAATCACATACATAGTAAGTATTTATACATTGGTCACATGACTCAATGAGGCTCATCAAAATACTTATCGTGCGCCATTCGCTATGGCAAATTCAAACTGGGATTATAGTTTCCAGCACACGAGACGATAGTGATCAACGTTGGTGACTCATGAAACAGTGTGAGTTAGACGTAGGTGAGCGCAATCCACTGTTTTACATCGTATGCCGCATCACATACTTTACTCTGTCTAAGAACAGGTGGTCAGATGAACACCTAAACGCAATGATCAGATAAACACCTAGACTCCATGATGAGATCAACACATAGACTCTATGGTCAGATAAACACCTAGAGTCTATGATGGGATGAACACATAGGGTCTATAATGAGATTAACACATAGACTCTACGGTCAGATAAACACTTAGGCTCTACGAGAGAGAGAGAGAGAGAGAGAGAGAGAGGGAGGGGAGAGCATGCGTTCTCTAGTTGAATTGGAATGATAAATGAAACAAAAATTGAACATAACCAGTGTAAATAACGCGGAAATGAAACAAATGTTAGGGAAAAATATTAATGAATAATAAAATCTCATTTAAACACAATTTTAATTTTAATTATAAGTTAAATTAAGTATAAAAGTAAAAATTAAGTTAAATTTTTGTTTAAAGCAAAATGCTTCGTAATTTACCAGTTCACCCAATCAAACAAGGCTTTAGAGATATTTTAGCAACGGCAAAAAGCCTACTGTGATCTAAATCGATAGCTTATATGTGGTTCGTCGCTATATGCTCTTGATTACCAACGACTGGCGGTTAAAACAGCTGCATGTGTATAAGGAAAATCCGCAAACGCAGCAAATTGAAAAAATCGTTGTTGCTTAGCACACAGTCTCTACATATATACATGGCTTATACGTACACTCGCTATTGCTACTGCTATAGATTATATTACGCCTGGCCGACCTATGGCATCGTATATGGATTATTGGATTGAAGGCATCCATTACCGTGTCACGAGGTTAGTTCAAAATAACATTGCAGGTACATGTTCCATCGATATGCGCGTGCGGAGGCACGCGTACACGTACACTCATATTTGCGTGTGTGTGTACGTGTGTGTTTTCATGTGTGCAAATGTGTACGAGCGTGCGTACGAGCGTGCGTACGTGCGTGCATGCGTGTATATGTGTGCGTGTATTCGTTTGATCCTATGTGCGGCCGTATGTATGCGTGGATTCTATCAGCTCACCAGTGCGCTGGATGTCTGTGCTGGGCAGTAGGTATACGCTGGCAGCAACTAGACACCGTCACCCGCAAAATCGACACGCCGTCACCATCTACAATTGTAGCATTAGTGGTTAGGTAAGCAGTAACGCAGCATGGCACACCTTGCCGCTGCATCAACCCGCTGCAAGCCTCCAGTCATGCATCAGCATTAGCAGCAGCGGCGGCAGCGGCGGCAGCGTCGTGATGCAGGCTTCATTAGCTCTCGCGCATGCCTGCCGCGGGGCCTCGCTAACTAGCAATCGAGTGCCCACCAAGTTTATAACCGCGCAAAAATCTCCGCTCGACTTCACTCGGCTGCTTTATACCCTTGCCGTCGGCTTCAGTCCGGCTTGCGACTATAGTTGCGCCTTACGAGAGGCTTCCATCGTCGAAGAGGCGATGTCTTCCCTCCTGCGCGGCGAGCGTCTCGACCTGCCTTCCTTCCACTCCCTGCACGGCGAGTTCCTGTCGCTGGTCGAGAACTCGTGCGTGCGGGTACGCCCGGCGTTGACGCACGACGGCAGGACGGTGAACTTCGCGCAGCTGCGTCTGCGAGCTGGCCGCATCAGCTCCTTCCTGCGAGAGATAGAGGACGACGAGAGGATCCTGAAGGGCAGCGACAGTAGGCGACGCAACATCGTCGCCGTGTGCATGCAGCCAAGCGACGCCCTCGTCGCCGCCATCTTGGGCGTGCTGGCGTCAGGCGCCGCCTACCTACCGCTGGACGCGAGCGCGCCGAGAGAGAGATGCGCGTACGTGCTCGACGACGCGAGGCCGCTATGCGTGCTCGTCGACGCAAAGACGACGTCCATCCACGACGCCGTGCGCTGCTGCGCCGACGCCGTCGCCGTGTACAGGCCGGAGGACATCGACCGATGGCAGTCGGCGTCAGTGTGCAGCGGCTACGCGAGCAGCGAGTTCGCGCAGTGCGGCGAGGGAGACGTCGCCTGCGTGCTCTACACGTCCGGCAGCACGGGACGACCGAAGGGCGTGCGCCTGACGCACGGTAATATTCTCAATCGGCTGCGCTGGTACTGGACGACGTTTCCGTTCACGCGCAGCGAGGTCGGCTGCTTCAAGACGGCGATCACGTTCGTCGACTCGGTGACGGAGCTGTTCGGATGTCTGCTGCAGGGATGTCCGCTCGTCGTCGTGCCGCCGGACGTCGTGCGCAACCCGCAGCTGTTCGTCGGCTTGCTGCGCGATCACGGCGTCACGCGCCTCACGCTTGTGCCCTCCCTGCTGCGCATGATCATGCTGTACGTCGCGGCTCGCCGACGAGCAGACGACAGCTCGCGTCGCTGCGCTTCTGGGTCTGCAGCGGCGAGACGCTGCCGCCACGCCTTCTCGCCGAATTCTTCCGCGTCTTCCCACGCGGTAAGACGCTCTGCAACTTCTACGGCAGCACGGAGGTGACCGGCGACGTCACCTGGCAGCGATTCCGCGGCATGCGTGACGTCACGGAGAACCTGCGCGACAACAGGGTGCCGATTGGCCGGCCGATAAACAACACCGACGTCGTCGTCGTCGGCGACGACCTGCGGCCCGTCGGCGGCGCGGAGATCGGCGAGATTTGCGTCAGCGGTCGCAACGTCGCCGCCGGCTACGTCACAGAGATGGCGGGGCAGTTCGTCGACAATCCGCTAGGTGGCGAGCGCGAGCACAGCGTCCTGTACAGGACGGGAGACTACGGACGCGTAATAGACGGTACGCTCTACTACGAGGGCAGGCACGACGCGCAGGTGAAGATACGCGGCCGGAGAGTCGACCTCACGGAGATTGAGAGAGCCTTCTCTGAGATTTCCGGCGTCTGCAACGCCGTCGTACTGGTTGACGCGACGTCTGCCGACGTGCTAGCTTTCTACACGGCGTCCGGTACCGCACCGCTGAGCACCGACGCCGTGCGGAGCACTCTGGCGACCAAGCTACCAGCGTTCATGATGCCGAGACTGCTACATGTCACGCATGTTCCGCTGCTGCACAACGGAAAGACGGATCGGGAGGCACTGATGCGGCAGTACCAACAGCAGCTTGTGCCGGATGTCCGGCCATCGAGCGCTCTCGACGCGTTCAGCGGATCCACGGGGAACAGCGCGCATGCCGACGCGGTGGTAATTATCGGCTCCGTACTCGGCCTGCATGCCTCCGCAGCGGACATCGCCGCTCGAAACTTCTTTGATATCGGCGGCAATTCGATCAACGCGATCGTCTGCATCGTGAAATTACGAGAGGCGAACTTTTCTATCGGCATCGACGACTTTTTACGCGCACCCACCATAGCGGACGTCGCTCATCTAGTCACTAGACAGGCGGATACCGCTTCGATTGGGGGCGATCTGCCATCCAACATCGATATCTGTTCGAATCCGTGCTCTAAGTTCAAGATCATACGACTAAGTGAAGCGGAGCAACCGCGGCAGCTGATCACGGTTCTTTCGGAGAGCTTCAGCACCAAGAATCCCCTCGACAGAGCCGTCAACAATAACCCGGAAACGCACGCCGCCCTACTGCGCAGCCTCTGGCAGGACATCGTGCGAACGCAGCTCACCCTGGTGGCTATTGACGCGCGCGAATCGATCGTCGGCGGCGTCATCTGCTTCGATCTGTTCGACGAGCCGACCCTGGATGCACCACCGCTGCTCGCGCCCATCTTTGACCTTCACGAGGTGCTAGAGGACAACTTCCGCAGGCGAATGGCGGGAACGGGCACCCGCTGGCTGCACAACTCGCTCATGGGCACTGACCTTGCTCTGTCCTATCAGGATAACGTCCTGCTCATCAAGGCCATGGAGGAGGCGGTGCTTTGTTTGGCTAGGAGCGAAGAATTCACTGGCGTCTTTACCTGTAACAGCAACAAGCTCAACCAGGTAAGGACGGCGAGAACATCCGCGCTACATGCCTCATGACACGCTGGGCGCGCCATATTTGTTTCTTTTTATATAATCTTCTATCTAGCGTGCTTTTACTCTCTTTCGCGCTCTCTCTCTCACTCTTTCCCTCGCTTGCTCTCTTTCTCGCCCTCTTCCTCCACCTCTCTTGCTCGCTATCTCTCCCGGCTCTTTCTCTCTTCTGTCTCTTTCTCTCTCTCATTTTTTTTTGCTTTAGATCTCTCGACAAACTTCTAATGCATTTATGTACTATTAGTTAGCAAAATGTCATGTGCTGTTGTCGTAATCACAGTTTCTGTTTTAGGATATCTGTCAACACTTTCTCGGCTTTGACGAAATCGGGAGCTATCGAGTACAGGACTTCGTATATGAAGGTCGTCACGTCTTCTCGGATGCCAAAGACGATGACGTCATACTTTCAATGATAAAATATGTCTGAGTCGCGAATCGCTGGGGCTTATAACGCGCACCTCTGTTTAATGTCTAACATAATTAATAGGTTAAGTAATGTTATAATTATTAAACTCATTAATTATTGAACGTTTCGTGGTTCGCCAAAAAACGTTTACGGTTTATGTCGATCTAGGCCTACTTCCGAATGCACGATATGGTGCGCCGCTGTTGGTTCCGAAACCAGAGTGATACACGTGCCGGTCTTCTCTATTGAACGTGATTTCTATTACGGATGGTTTGTGGCCATTGCTGGCCAATAATTTCATCGGTAATTTGGTGCCCTACCTTTTCGGAATATTCTGTTCGGAACACTATGTATCTGCATGAGAACGGTGGTCCGTGCATAGTTGGTCATATACGGTTAAATGATATGTTGTTTGCGATGTACGTAGTTATGCCGACAGTCCTGCTACACGTACTTACTGTGTCCACATGGGTGCCAAGTTTCCGGATCCCCTTCAAGCAGATTCATCAATGATCGATGTCTGATCGATCATTTAAAATGATATACGTAAAGCTGCGAAGTGAATCTTAATCGAAACGCTTAATTAGCGCGTGGACATTACATCCCACATTAATTTTATAGTTTGGGATCTGCTGTTCTAGATATGTGAGTAGTGAATGCTTAATACTTCCGCTCCTCCCGACAGCGAGCGATAGTACTAATGGATCCCCCCGGGCGTACTAGTCGCTGAGTACTCGCGTGTCACACGCTGTTGCCTTGCTTTTGATTAGTCTAACGTATGCCCGTGTACGCAATTTAATGCTGACATGCTGGGTACGCGCGGCGGATGTACGTACGCAGTCGGCCATTAGCTATCGGCTTCAAAAAGTATTTCAGCAGAAAACGACAATATCCAGCATGCAGAAGTTGCTCGGCGCTTGAGCACGGAAAGGTAATTAGAAAGCTCGTGAAAGGCCATTGAGCAGAGCGCCGAACCCCTAATGGGTTCGCCATGCAGCGACAGTAGTGCCCCGGCGGCAGAAAATCGATTGATTTGTCCACAATACGTATCAGCTCAATACCTTTTTGAGTATAGCGAAGTATTTGGAAAATTCTCGTAAAATCACCTGTACGTCAGCATCCAGTGATATCTGCTGTAGAGATAGCTCAACAGTGGTATCTGCTGTAGAGACAGCTCAACAGGAACGCACACGGCAGCTGTCTCGTTCGCGAAAATAGCTGCACAATAAAACAGCGCCATGTGATTTATTTGAATGCTTTATACCACTCTTCCATTTCAGGCAACATACACTGTTGTACATGTTGTATATTATTGTACTCGTCTATTGCTATATTTCCCTGTTATGTGCGCTACACTGATGTAGCAGTGTGTGTAGCTATGGATGCGCCAGCGTGGGAGCTCCACGTGATGCTGCCGATGTGCGGCTGGCTACTTACGTTGTAAAACACCTATCGCTATATGTAATTGTTTTATTACTTGTTCAATGTTGTATATTATGTTTTCTTTATTAAATTCTGTTATTTGAATGCCAAAGATGTCAAAGATGAAGTGCCTTTGTCTATAATTATCTCTTCACGCGGACCGCAGAACAATGTAAATATCTCTCTTGGTCATCTTTATCTGCGTGAGTGAATACATGCAAACATACAATACCGTGATTATTCTGTCTGCGCCCACAAACGCGAAATGTGCTGGAGATATCACAGAACGCTTATGTACGCTGGCATAGATCATGGCAAAATACTGCTGACTATTTCCTTTCCCTTTGAAATGCTTAACATAAACAGAATAGCATATATTTTCGCAGATATATATCGGGCATGTGCGCTCATACGTATGAACATAATACTATATACTAATATTAATTCTGAGGGATGGGCGCCTTATCAAAGTTAGATGTTTGGAAAGAGATTTGTCATGTCAAGCTACATCTGAGTATAGCCTCTCCATTTTAAATCCGCATTGTATCAACAAAATATCATTTTTCTGAGCATGTACGATACCCCAGATCCCTTGTTATCAGTTAGGTTATATTTGGAAGCTCGGCATAATGGTATAGCCATGTTGTAGTTATGCCTAATCATTCGCTTTTAATTTAGAGAGCGCATATTCACTAGTAGTTTGAAGTGAACGATCTCCACTCTAATCTTTGTATATGTATGGTTGTGGTGTTGGTATAATATGAGAAAGAATATTGTTTATTCATATATTTTACTATGACACACACCATAGGCCTACTAATGCTACATTTACACTTTACTCACAGTATAGAAAATATACGCTTATATATTATTTCTCACGCTCGACAGATGTGGCGAAACGGACGCCGAAGAATGGCCCGTGTGCGCGCAGATGACATGCCAAAAAACGATGACAAACTGGAAATTAGTACACTTTATTGATGAAAATCTTGCCTTGGCTATGTTACAAGTGGATTTTTTGCTTTAGACCACCCCCTTGTTGATAAAATGTCTATTTCATAACATTTCTCTGTACCCATCAATTTTATAGCCTCTAAGTGTATATAGATATCACTTGCTGTACCTAATTGTAGTTAAAAATGGGGAAATTCATGCTCGCGTGATCTCTGTACGTAAACGGCATCGACAAACTCACGTCACGTGGTCCACATATTGTGCAAGATCGTTGATTGGTCCCTGGCCAGTCGACAAACGTGACTAATGCGACGTAGGGCGCATGCGCGCGAGAGAATCTATCTGCGATCGGGCTTGCGTAAGGGAGTCGCCTCATTTACGAACAAAGAATTAAATTTTAATTAAAACACATACATTACATACATACTTCATCGCACAAGCTGCGTCTACGTGAGGTATAATTTACTGGGTTATTCGTCTACACTGGGGAAAGCCGGGTTTGAATAATGAGGATTTTTCTAAGCCTTTTGTAAACACGGCTAAGTGTCTCTCAGTGTTATCGAACTGCTACGAACCACACGTAAATGATTGCATTTCTCGCTAATTATGTATGAAGTTAGTTAATATAGCAAGGTGAAAGTCAAGCGGCTCACAACAATATAATTGTATAGCAGTCCAGTCCGAAAGGAAATTCGCGGCAAAGAATCGTGGCA